TGTGTGTGTGTGTGTGTGTGTGTGTGTGTGTGTGTGTGTCAGGCTCTGGAACCTCAGGGTTTGGAGTCGGGTTGTTTCTGAGTAGTGTGTGTCCAGCTTAGTCATGGTGCTCTGAGCCCGCAGCCTTCCCTCTCCCTGTCTGCTGCTTAGGTGTTTCATCAGTTTCATTCCTGCTGTGGAGGCCATGCTGGACTCAGAAAGGAACAGGCCTGTGTTCCCTACAGCAGCTCTAGCAAGGATCCTTCCCACCTCTGCTGCTGTCTGGCCACTGGTTGTCCCAGGTGGTTGTATCACGCCATCTCCCTTCATGGTCCCATGACCCCATCCGTCCTCTCTATGGAGACCTCTACTCCTCTAACAAGGATGCCAGCCTTGGTGGATTTGGGCCAACCTTAATGGAACATGATCTCAATTTAAGCTGATCGCATCAGCAAAGACCTTTTCAGACCCCAGGGGCCTTGAGTTTAAGGGACAAATTCTGCAGGTTTGGAGGCAAATAGAGGGCAGTCACCCACAGCCAAGACCTGGGTTCTTCTCCAAGTCAGGGCCAAGATAAACTCTAGCAACAAGCCCAGGCTTAGACCTTCTGATTCATTCTTTGCCTTCTCCATACTAGCCAGTGGCCCAGGCACCCGAGACACCAGTGGGCTTCAGCAAGGTACAGGGAGTGGTAGGTGATGCTTGTTTTTATGGTGTAGCATGTCCTGTTGGGATCACAGCTTGCTGCTAGTTGCTCCCTGTATCTTCCACCACCCAAACCTCTCCAGTGAGGCTGAGGTTCATCTGGAGCAGCAATCAGAACCATCCTGGCAAAGTTGTCAAATGGGCTCTGCTGCCTCTGCTAATGATGATGCCTGCTGTGGGCGAGGTCCTTCCCAAAGTGATTTCCCAGGCCCGGCCTGTGTGCACCATGCTCAGCAACAGACAGCTCCCAGCCCCTACTATCATGAAAACTTCCTCCCAGGCTTCCGGCTCCTTCCCTGGTCCAGACCCAGGGAGACCCACACCTGGATCAGTTGGCCAGGTCCTACCATCCCGTTCCTTCCTCCGCCAGGCAAGGCAGCCATGCTCTGGCCTCTGTACCTTGAACTTTGCATTCAGCCACTGCCATTGAAGTTGATAACCCTCCAGACTGTGGGTAGACTGAGTGGACACCCTCATTCTCATAGGAACCTCCAAAGAAAGGGAAGCATGAGGAGCCAAGGCTGGATTAAACTGCAACCTTCACAGAGCTCCACTCAGAGTTGGGCTGTGCCCTTTGCCTTGGCATGATGGACTGGCACCAGCCTGCGCATTGACTGCAGGTGGGCCCTTAGGAAATGCAGCTAGATGTCTTTGGCCCTGTCCTCTGGTGTCCTGGGAAATGTTTATAGAGCTAACAAGATTTCAGATGTTGCATGATACTCTGTTTAATTTGAAGATGCCTGTGTGAGGTCAATGCTGGAGTGCTAAAAGCATGGATCTGTTACCTGTGCCTTAATGTGCAGGGGAGGAACAGGGTTGCAGGTCACATGCAGGCCACATTGTCTCCTGCTGAAGCTTTGTGCTTCAAATACCCTATGCCACTTTAGCATCAGATGCTGGTGTCAGGGACAAGGCAAGCTGGCCGCCAACTGCAGCTCCACATGGGGTCAGTAAAAGTCACTTGGTGGTGCTCAGTGGACAACAGACAGCCTAGTTCAGAATTCCAAGATGCTAGTATTTGTGCAGTCACGTGGCTGTGCCGCTGCCACCACTCTGTAACTCTGGAGCACCTTATCCTCTCTAAGGCAGACCCTGATGCATGAGCGCTGTACCCCAGCAGTCCTCACCCCACTCCCTGTCTCTAGTAATTTTTTAGGATTTCCTTCTCTAGTAAGTGGAATTGAATGTTGTTTGCATCTGTTGTCTGTCACTCCATATATGTTTGCTGGTGTCAGAACTTCGTTCTTTCCCGTGACTGAAGAATATTCTACTATGTGGGGTGTCTGGGTGAGATA